GTATTAATTCTGTTTCAGCACCACCTCACATTCAAAAGCGTCATCCAGCAGATCAAATCATAGGTAATGTGAATGATGGTCTTCGAACTAGAGGTAAGTACACTCCAGGCCAATATGCTTATGTCTCTCAATTTGAACCAAAAAATTACAAGGAAGCAATTAAAGATGATGAATGGTTCTTTGCTATGGTTGAAGAATTAACGCAATTCAAATCCTTGCATGCTTGGGATCTTGTTCATCGTCCTATAAACCAATCTGTGATTGGAACTAAATGGATTTTTAGAAACAAATCCGATGAAGATGGTATTTTTGTACACAACAAAGCCAGATTAGTTGCTCAAGGGTATTCACAGGAGGAAGGGGTTGATTATGATGAAACCTTTGCCCCTATTGCTCGGATAGAGTCCATACTTTTGTTATGTGCTTATGCTTGTTTTATGGGTTTTCGGTTGTTTCAAATGGATGTCAAAAGTGCCTTCTTGAATGGTGATATTCAAGAGGAAATATATGTGTCACAACCCCCAGGTTTAGAGGATCATCAGTATCCTAACCATGTTTACAAACTTAGAAAAGCCTTGTATGGTCTTAAACAAGCTCCACGAGCTTGGTATGATAAACTTACTTCATTTCTTCTTCAACATGGTTTCGTTCAAGGATAAGTGGACAAACTCTTTTTATAAAACACGAATCAAATGATATTGTGTTTGTTCAAATCTATGTGGATGATATTGTGTTTGGAGCTACTTGCCAAGATATGTGCTCTGAGTTCTGCAACTCTATGAAAGAAGTCTTTCAGATCAGTTTTTCAGACTCCAAATTAAGCAAACCAGCACTGGTACTTTCATAAGTCAGACTAAGTACGTATCTTCTATTTTAAGCAAATTTGATATGATGAATCTTAAATATAGTCCTTCCCCTATGGCTATTAATGTCAAGCTTGACAAAGATGAGACTGGTTTATCAGTTGATGAATCTAAGTTTAGGGGAATGATTGGATCATTGCTTTATCTAACTGCTAGTCGACCCGACATACAACATAGTGTATGCTCAATTATGTGCTTGTTTTCAGTCTGATCCCAAAGAAAGCCATTTGTCAGCAGTCAAACGCATTTTCAGATACCTTAAAGGTACCATGGACGTAGGACGGTGGTATCCTAAACATGATTCGTTTGATCTTGTTGGGTACAGTGACTCAGACTTTGCTGGTAGTTTAACGGATAGAAGGAGCACTTCGGGTAGCTGTCAGTTTGTAGGAACTTCCCTAGTTTCATGGTCCTGTAGAAACAAGGGGCAGTCGCCCTCACCACTGCAGAGGCAGAGTACATTGATGCTGGCAGCACTTGCACTCAACTCCTTTGATTAAAAAGTCAATTACAGGACTATGGATTCACTATGTCTAGTATACCTTATCTTTGTGATAATACCAGTGCTATTTGCATGTCTAAAAAACCTGTTCAACACTCACCATTAAACATATTGAAGTTAAATACCATTTCATATGTCATCTGGTTAGTGCTGGCACGATAAATCTCCAGTATATTAATACAGAATTCCAGCTGGCAGATCTTTTTACCAAACCTCTTTCATCTGATCGATTCACCTTCCTGTGTTTTAAGATCGGTATACGATCTCTTGCCACCATTACTGCTGCTAAGGGAACCTAGTCTCAGCTTGGTTGCCCCTTTTGTTTGTTGTAATTTTACTGATTTGACTTGCCTTTTCTCGGTTTTTTGGATCTTTTCTTTCCCGCTCCTGCAATTCTTGGCTTTCCTTGTTTTGTTTGCTATTTATGTCTAATTGGTTGTCCTTCCTTTTATTTGTTCTAGGTTTAGCCTTTATATTCTCTTGGTATTCTTCGTTTCCTCTGTACTTTTTGCCATCATGTTCCTCTCCTGAGTCGGCCATGGTATACGCTTTTGCTTTAACCTATTCTGGAACCTTTTTCCATTAGCCTGTTCTAGCAAACTACCATCGCCACACCCAGTCCTTTGAAAACCGTCCCATCAACCCTTCCACTGTCCTACAACTTCCAGATTTTGTACCTCTTTGGTTAGATGTGATGCCTTAAATCATGAACTTAGGCTGGGAGTTTATATTGACACTTGAAGCATCTTCCACTCTTATCTGTCCTGAAGCTGTAAGGTTCTTCTTTTTCAATCTTTGCTATTTTGGTCTTCAATCTCGTACCTTAAGCTCTCTTGTCCATGGCCACATGATTACTCTTCCCCCTCATGATATTCGGCGCCTACTCCATATTCCTGCCTTTGGAGAGGCCCTTGCTCATCTTGATGAACTTGCTTTATTCAATTTTGATATAGTCACAGAGGCTGTTCATCTCACTAGTCATGAACCAGATCAAGTTCTCACATTTTCCCAAGCCTTGTTGCTCCCTTCCTTGCAAACTTTTCATTATATTCTCACCAGGGTGTTTCTTCCTCGCTCTATCTTCCTTGATCGTGTCCTCCCTCTTGATTTATGGATCCTTTCCCTTGCGGTTGATGCTGTTCCATTCGAATTCTTTCATCCGATGTTTGGGGCTCTTCTTCCCTTCATTGATCATAACTTTCATGCCCCTCTCCCATTCGCTGCTATGATTACCCGTCTTCTGCTCGCCTTGCCACTAGACCTTTCGCCGTATCGCACTGAATCTCCTTATCTATGGCTTGCTGCGATGATGTTCTTAATGAGATCAGGATTGCGATTGAGGGGGAGGATGATCCCTTTATACACTGGATCAGCAGCGACTCAGAGGCAGAAGAAGAGGCTGAAGCTGGGGAAGCACCAGACAATGAAGTGGCGTCCTTTGCAACTGCTCTTCAAGATCTCTATGGCACAGATTCTGAATATGATGAGTTCAAGTTCTCTGATGATAGTTCAACTCCCTAGTTTGTTAGAAATTGTTGAGAGACATGTTATGTGAGATGTTATGTTCTTTTGTTCTCTTTGAACTCAGGGTAACTTTGCTATGTGAGATGTTTTTGTCTGTGTTCTTTGAACTCAGGGGGAGTCCTGAGTAACAGTGGTGAAGTACTGTTTTTGCTCAGGGGGATTTTAATCTTGATATGCTATCTTACTTGTCTGTGGTCTTTATAATGGTATTGCTGCTAGATCCTGTGTGGAAAGAATGTTTTTTGTATGCAGGAGTAAAGCAATCGGCTATCTCCAACTTAGGGGGAGATTGTTGGATTAAGCAAGGAAGATCAAGTCAGAGATTGCCTCTTGACCGTTGCTCAATCTTAGCATTCTCAAAAGGAAACTATTTTCTGTTCTGAGGGGCTTCCTTTTCGGTATCAAACGGCTAGAAAACTTCGGCTATTTATAGGCGAAGCTTGCAATCTGTGGAAGGTACTTTGTAGAAGCGATCAGTGGTATAGAGCTGAGCTAGGAAATTACAAAGGGTTGACAAAACAGGGGTAGAGGTTCTGCTTTTGTCAAGGCTGAACAGATCAAGAGTGATTTGGGATTCTCTGTTTTCTTCACTTGTGTTTATCTTTGTTCTTGTTCTTTCGTTTTACAAAAACCAAAATATAAACAAGGGTCTCCCATACCATATTCTGGGACGTGGAAGTAAACCATTTCACTTGGGCGATCCACGTTAAAAACGTCTTGTGTCCTTTATCCTTTCTGCATTTTCATTTTGATGTGTTCTTCTCTTGTTCTTGAGGAACTTTGTTCCTTGATCGGTCCCTGATTTAGTTCTGGGTTTCAACCACGTTTGTTTCAAGAAATTGAAGGAAATTGGGCTCAATCTGAGTTGAAACCAGTCTGACTTATTCAGCCCGAGTTGAGCCTCAGTTTCAGTCCGACCCACTTATTTGTCGATCTGTTGAAACGGAACAGACGACGACATTTCCCATTTGTCTTTCCTTTCCATTTTCATTCATCGATTCTTCTTCCTCTGCCCTCTGACCTAATCGACTCCGACTTTTCATTTTTAAATAACAAACACAAAAAGATTTCATTTCAAATTGAATTCCTAAAAATTTATGGAATTCATTTATACCAAACGGTATGTACATATCAATGTGACTTCCCATAAGTTCACTCGTTCTTACAATTTTATATAGTGAATACGTTTAGTTTCAGAATTCTTAGATGAACTACTTCATTTTACAAAAAAAAAAAACATGTCTTGTCAGTTAAAATCAATTTCTTACTTGTGAACCATGGATCTCTCCCAAAATTTCTCGATGTGAGATTCGCCTAAATTGTTACATTCAGTAAAAAATTTTGTCGATGAATCGATTTGGGTGTCTAAATTTTTAATGAGATATTGTTTTTCTTCTTCCAGTTAGTGAAAAGTTGATATTCTTTTTTGATACCAAATTAAAAGTTATCTTACTTCATACAATTGCAACCGTTGTTTATGATATTGACAAATGTATCCGACCTACGAGCTACTTCCATTTAAATCTATAACGACCTAACTATCTACACAATATATAAAAGCACAAAGGGAAAAAATGGAACCCCATTTCAAAAATGCTGCACGCAGAGGAATTGTCGGAGGGGTAATTTCGGTAGCTTTTTCGGACGGAAAATCAAGTCCGCCTGTACCGTAGTGGGCTACTGGGCCGGGCCATTAGTGTTTTCTAGAAATTGAATTACACGCACCACACCGCAATCTTCTTCGAACGAAGCTCTCACCACCAACATGCTCCCCTCCCATCGACGAACCGCAAATTCTTCTTCCGGTGGGCGTGCATGAGGATGGAATGGAGGCTTTCCGTTTAAAATTCGGGTCCAGCGCCGTACTTGCGCCGACTGTCTTAAAGTAGGTTTTCATAACCAAAATCAACCCTCCGCTTTGAATCACCGACACATTTTCTTCCCATCGAAGAAAAGTTACATGGACCTTGTCCTCCGAATCAAATCAGTTCGAATCCATACATGACTGAGTTCAATTATTCCAATTCGGTGTTTTTCTTTTTGATTGCAGAAATGGCATCCGGTTTTGAAGACGCTGGCAGAGGAAGCTGCATTGAAGTTCGCGGGCAAGAATGGGATCGATTTGGTGGCGATCCATCCGACAACGTGTTTGGGGCCATTGTTGTAGCCTGGACTGAATGCAAGCACCGCTGTGTTGAAACAAATGCTGGAAGGAGCTAAATACAGACAGGAGTATCACTGGTTGGGAGCTGTTCATGTTAAAGATGAGGCCAAAGCACAAGTTTTGCTGTATGAGACTTCTACTGCTTCTGGTAGATACCTCTGCACCAATTGGTATATTGTCTCGATACTCTTAATTGTCATTAAGTGATCCAATCCAATTCTTGCTATGGGGATTATTTATTTTTGTCCTTGGGATACGGATGACAAGTTGGGATGGTGGCAATGGTGTTTGATCCTCCTGCGGCACGACAAAATGTTGGTAAGCAAGTGAGGACTGGACCCAAATGGGGTACATGACAGCTTGGAGGGAAGAAAGCCACAATCTTCCGTTATTCGATCCTATGTGAGATAGTTGGATTTTTCAAAATCAGCTGGGTTTCCTACCTTGCCCCTTCTTCCTGTTGTGTTGTAATTGCGCCAGTCGTAGGATGGCCTGCCATGTGGTATTTCCTCGTATGTTGTTTTTAACTTGGATGAAGCTTGAGTTACTAAATAATTTAGATCATATGCTAAATGGTGTCTCGATTCAGGATAAAGGTCATAGTATTTGTGATTGAGTCAGTTGCGCCAGCTGTATTTTGCATTTTAAGGCCAAAGTTGTTTTCTTGCTGCTCATTTCTTTGTTACTGTTGTGCTTAGTGTTGGAAGTTAAATGATATACCATGTGAGTGGAAACTTGGTTGTCACTCCTGTGATCAAGGGATTCACGGGGTCCAAACTTCTCTGTTTTTAGTCTCCCCATATTTCCCGGTCATTGTATTCCAGTTTTGATGTGTTCCCATTCTCTCTGCCTATGTTCCATCGTTTGCTAACTATATTGGAGAAGAGAGCTTTCAGTTAAACAAGTAAAATTTCAAAGCTGCATTTTTTGGGTTCTCCTCTGCTCTATCTCTATCAATTCTCATTTGTGGTTGTACTTAACTTAGTTTCTTTTATGAAACCAGTAATAATGCTCCAGAATGAATAGCTGCAGTAGATCTTATGTTTAGGTATACAAGGAGTTTTCTTCATGAAATTCTGGTACAACCATCTGCTTGTACAAGATTGATACATTTAAATGTAAAGTTAGGTAGTTTTCAAGTTCTTTGTCGCAATTTTGTTCCCAGTAATGTTTTATGATAGTTGCAGAAACCATCAATAGTGTTCTTTTGCCTCCAAGGGTTACAGTAGGCTTTATTGTGACAAATATAATAAAAATGACTAAGGCATTAAAGAGAACCACCCATTTCTATTGATCCACTGTATTTTTTTTATCATTTCTTATTTGAAAGTGGAGAAGGTAGCTTGATTAATTTGAATGCTCCTATCTAAAGCGAGATATATAAGCTCGCATTTTGGTTTGCGATCATATTGCAATGTTAATTATCATCAATTTGTTATATTTTCCTATGCCTTTCAAGTTTATTTCAATCATGCAAGCATTCTTGATGTTTCCTCGGGAAGTAAGCAATTTGTATTGGATAATTTCTCTTTACTCAGAGTTGGGACAATCTCTATCGGATTTCGGGAAGACTGCTAAGTTACTTGGTGCTTGCGAATCGAATGGTCTTGGGAAAGTACTAACCGAGCTTGGTGCTAAATCGGAGGCATTATCAATCCGACTACAAAAGGAGGCAAGTCTTTGAGTTGACGTTGAGTTCATCTTTGGTATGCTGTTGTGCCCTTAGAGTAATGAGTTTATTGATCCCTGTCTTCACGCACATGTAGGCCTATCAACTCCTAATGAATTTTGAAAGAACCTATGAAAGATTACGTCCGTGTTGTGCAATCAATTAAGGTTGGCGCTCTTGCGGTTGCACTCCCCTTTAGGTGGCTTTATGCCTCCTGTCAATTGAATCCTTATACTTTATGGAAATTGATCATCCTGGTGCTTTCCAAAAACTTGGACAGGAAACTATTGCTGAAAGCGTCAATGCCTTTAGGCAACAATGTGAACTGGCCGAAACAATGAAGTTGAAGGAGATAAATATGTATGCCCCTCTCTTTTTAGATGGATTAGTCACATTAGTTGGAGCATGACTTGATAGTCACATGTTCTAACTTCTAATAGTGTTATTCTCTACTTTCCACATAGGGAAGCTTATGCTGACACGATCCGACAGAGTGGGGGGAGCTGAAATCATGCAAGCATTCTCAAACATTGCTTGGATTATAGCTTGGGTTAATAGTTATTTCTTCTTTATTTCGGAACCTATCTTGAATTTTCCAATGTAAACGGCCACAAAAGGGGAGTTGTGTGATTGCAATTTGCAAGCACGTGATGTGTTATGATTGAATTTGGAATTATCAACATCTGCGCTTTTTTAATGTTTGTAAAGCTATTTAATTATATCTTTCAGGTTTATGAGAATGTGGCAAGAGAGATTACAAATCACAAATCTCTTTGGTACCCTAACATTATTTGCTTCAAGGAGGTTGGTTGTCGTCGCTTTACAACCTCTGGTTTTTGGTTGTCTGGTGCAAAACTGTACTCTGGTTATCAGTAAAAGTTTGAAGATGGTTGAGTTCAAACCATCTGTCTATAGCGATGGAGTATGTTGTTGGCGAAAAGTTGTGCACTGTATTGTCAGAAAGGAAAAAGCAATCAATCGTGAACATAGGGAGTTTGCTCTTATTTTCACTTTTGTACTTTGGGTGCTGAATTTGGTTGTCCTTACTTAGAATTAATATGTGTTTTTAGATTGTAAAATTAATTTTGGGAAGTTCATGATCGATGAGTTTTTTATTTGTCGACAAAAGATGCACTAAACTTTAGTTGTAGCCACCTAAGCAGGGTGTCCTAATTTGCTTCTCATTACGTTTTTTTTTTTTGCCTCAATGTTTGGATCCTGGGTATGGTAGATGTTTTCATCACTATTTTAGTACTAGACCAACCCGTTGGGGTCATTATGTAACTTTTCTACTCTACTTGGTTGAAGCGAAATTATACTTAATTAGTATAATTGTTAATCTCGACAGAAAAAATGTAAAGTAAACATAAAGAGATATTTCATGAATCAAGAACACCTCACAAGTTCAACATTTACAAAATTTTCACCAAATTTATATATGTTATGAATAAAAAATCACACTTAAAAATTCAAGACAAACTTTAATTGATATAATTTTTCAAAAAATAAATTTAAATGTTCCGACCAACGGGTCGAGTTCAAACTAGTTAAATTAAATAGACAACAAGTTTTTTTGTAATGGTGATACATATTATTAAGAACATATATATTACAACATTAAAAGCAAATGAAACAGAGGACGGGTCTGCACTTGCAGCAGAGGCAAGCATAACTCATTCAAAAACTCCTGACTATAGTAGCTTTTGAATAAGAGGAAAATTGGATCACCAAGTTAGTTCTATTTCCCATTTCGGTTAAACTGTAAATTTTAACCAGGCAACACTCTTGTGAACAAACGGATTTCCTCCCCAACTCCATTCCAACAGTTACCAAATTCCTAACCTTCACCAAGAAACCAGTGATAACCCCATTATAATTACCGGTTTAAAATTCAAACCCACACTACTAATCTTCTTCTCTTTACTTCCTCCAATAAGCAAACCGAGCAGTTTCCCTTTCAGTACCCAAACAATTATAACCTCTGTTCTGCTGCTGCAGTTCCCACCCTCACCCCAAAAAAAGTAACACAACAGTTACTTCTGATCAAACCAACAATGGAGTCACCCTTCCTGCCGTTGTCCTGCATCCTAATTTCTTCCTGCCTTCTTCTTACCACGGTCCACGCCGGTTCAGGCTACGTTTACTACGACTGGACCGTGTCGCTCTCGATTCGCTCCCCACTCGGTGTTCCCAAGCAAGTGATAGTGATCAACGACATGTTCCCCGGACCGCTGCTCAACGCCACCACCAACGATGTGGTTAGTGTCAATGTCCGCAACCACTTGCCCGAACCATTGCTGATAACATGGTACGTATGTTACGTAATTAACCTGAAATCACACCATTCTACCTAAAAAATAATAATAAGTTGCTCTAGCACAACCAACGTTCGATCCCTAGTCTATAGCGACGAAATTCTCTTTGTTCTGTTCAGGAATGGGGTGCAAATGCGAAGGAACTCGTGGCAGGACGGGGTGCGAGGAACCAACTGCCCGATCCAGCCCGGTCAGAATTGGACCTACAGTTTCCAACTCAAGGATCAAATCGGGAGCTTTTTCTACTTCCCGTCGCTTCTTCTTCAGAAAGCTGGTGGTGGGTACGGCGCCATTCGTGTCAACAATCGGAAGGGGATTCCGATTCCGTTCCCCCAGCCGGCTGAAGACATCGACCTGTTGGTCGGAGATTGGTACAATGTGCATCACAGGGTACGGAATCCTAATCCTGATTGGGTCAGGATTCGACTCTGTTTCGAGTAGAACGAATCGCGGATTCATGTTGTTGGGTGTCTTTTTGTTTTTTGCAGGATTTGAGACAGATGCTGGATCAAGGGAGGCATTTGCCTCGTCCTGATGGGATTCTCATCAACGGACATGGCCGATATACTTTACACTTCCAACCGGGTAACGGAGTTGATTCTTGTTACATTTTTCTTGTTCTTCTCCTTCAACTCAATGGTAATTTTGGTCCAACTGTTTTTTTGTGGCGATCAGGGCTTACCTACAGGCTGAGGATCTCGAACGTGGGAATCAGAACATCGTTAAACTTCAGAATCCAAGACCATGCCTTGCTTCTGGTGGAGACGGAAGGTTCTTACACGGTGAAGAAGTACTACAGCAGTTTGGACATTCACGTTGGCCAATCTTACTCTGTTCTAGTCAGGGCAAAGAACCTGACGCATGGCCATTCCTTCTACATCTTCGTCAGCTCTCGATTTACGAAGTACGAGCTCTTGGGGCTCGGCGTGGTGCACTATCCCGACTCGAGAATGCCTCCTTCTGGTCCAATCCCAACTCGGCCTGCACCGTTCGACTTTGGTTTCTCCATCAATCAAGCTCGCTCCATCAAGTGAGTACAGAAAGAGATTGTTTTATCCCACATCGAACGATAAAATAATAAGTTTCATGTCTAAAGTGTGTTGTTTTGATTGTGACTAAATTTAGGTGGGATTTGGATGTGGGAGCTGCGAGGATGAACCCACAAGGCTCGTACCACTACGGCGCCATCAACGTCTCGAGGACGCTCATCCTCGAGAACGGTCTCGTCGTGGGGAGCAACAACAGGATCCGCTACACCGTCAACGGCGTGTCCTTCCTGCACCCGGACACGCCGTTGAAGCTAGCCGATCGATTCGAAATGTTCGACGAGCTCAAGATCGTGGTCCCTTCTTTCCCCGACGCTCCACAGACCGCAGAGACGATGAAGCTGCAGCGAATGGGAGCGTCGGTTGTGGATGTGAAGTGGCGCGACTTCTACCACTTGGTTTTCCAGAACCCTCTCCCTAACGTCCAGACCTGGCACCTCGACGGATACAACTTTTTCGTTGTTGGGTAAAGCTGTGAAACGTTTTTTCTACATCAAATTTTGAGCTCCTTCTTGCTTGAAGTTAAAAGTGTTTCCGAGTAACGAAAAACAAAAATTGTTGCGGTGGTGGTGAATTTGCAGAATGGGGGAAGGGCAGTGGAACGAGAAGGCGAAATCGACATACAACATGATCGACGCAGTATCGAGGTCGACGGTCCAGGTGTATCCTCGGGCGTGGACAGCAGTACTGGTGATGCTGGACAACAGAGGGATGTGGAACTTGAGGTCACAGAACGGTGAGAAATGGTATCTGGGGCAGGAGCTGTACCTGAGAGTGAAGGGCGTTGGAGCTGAAGATCCATTGACGATTCCAGCAAGAGATGAAGCTCCGATCCCTGGGAATGCCATCTTGTGCGGGCGAGTCATGAATCACACCAACGCTTGGGTTCCAAACTAGAGAAAACGAAAAAAAACAAACGTCTCTCTGTACTGTTTTAATCATAAATTCCAAAGATGTCACTATAGGGTAGAATTACAAGGGTTAGACTCTATTCTAATAGCAATCTCATATGAAAGCTAATATTATATTGGATTAGCATATTTTAAAAATCCAATTTGCACCCAATGGGCAACTGGTTGATAACCCAATTGGGGGTTCGACCCGTGGTTTTTGGAGCCTTTGGTTTTCAAGCTTTTTGTAAGACATTGGGGGATCAGATTAGGTACAAATTGGGGTGCCCAAATTGTCGTAACCAGGCTTTGGACTGGACACCCATCCCGCATAATTATGCGAGAGTGACCCACTCATCATGCCCCGCTTACTGCCTGAAGGATCATGGTTTGGTTGGCAGGCTCGGTTCCCATTTTATAGCCTTGTTGTCGACTCCGTTTCCTATGACACTGTCGATGTGGTATTTGTTTCCTCCGTCGCGCTTCTCACGAGCACAAAGCATATTCCTGATTGGTTAACGATGATATCACTTGGCAAATTGGCATTCACTTGCAGCTCAAGTGCCTTTATGAATCTTACGGGATTGGATATTATGTGGGATATTAATTGTGATTTGTAATCAATCGTGCTGGAGTTGTAGACCTACAACTGGATAAAAAAATAACTAGCACAGGGATAAAGAATAGTGACTACAATTGCGATTGGATAATTTATCACATGGCGCGAGTAAAAACAACGACTACATCTATGTTTGATTGCAACTATGATCCGAGTCCAGTAATTTATCACAGGACGTGGGTCGGGACAGGTTGGCCAATATGATAAATATAGTTAAATTATTAAAGAAATTGAGATTCTCAAATATTGAAAGTTTCATTATAGTTAGGATATGAGGTAGTAAAAGTAAAATATTAAGTAATTTGAATGAAATTACTTGTGGTTTAGGTAAAAATGAGTCGATAATGGGTGGTCAGAGCATGTTAGCATGCCAGTTCGAGAAGAGTACCCAAGCTCGCTCCACCTACGAGACAGGTATTATCCGTCCATAAACAGGCCAAAACAAGTCGGGTAAAACATGTCAAGTCGAAATTATCATCTAACTACACCTACAATTATGTCTAAATTGTAGTCCTACTACTGCAAGAGCAATGACTAAAACTATTGTTGTACTACTTCCAACTTATGGTTAGCAAAGTAGCTCATATTCTTCCCAATACTAATCCAATCGATAAACAGAAAGATAATACTTCACCCGAAATCTCATTCTTGTAGCAGGTGATCCAAAATTTTGCTCAACATAGGACTATATCAAATTTATCATCACCAAACTATACTACTGCACATCATATATGATATACTTCCCCGCCAACCATTATATTTACACAGAAAAATAGAATCGCAACCCAATCACGTAACGCTAGATTGTCTCCCCAACCCTATAGAACCCATCTTTGTTGTTGTCTACATGGAATCCAACCCATCCAAAATATCCAGCAAATTCCCTCTTTGATGATGGACCAGCTTCCTCCTCCTCCCCATTTCCCTTACTGGTGAGTTCCCGGTGCTCTTCGTCCTGCTCAGCGCCGCCCAAACCCTCCCGCTCTTCTTCGAAAGCTCCTGGCTCTTGCTTATCCCGGGGATCAGCCTCCTCCGGCGGCTTACCTTGTCCAGCAAGTCTCTGTCCTCCTGAGAGATTCTTGTGATGCGGCTGCTGTGATTTCGAGCTTCGTTCAACGATACGATTCGCTGCATCTTCGAGTGGAGATCCTGTCCTCGGAAAGTCGCAGACTTTGGAGCCAGGCCGGCTTGGCCACCGGATGATCGGAGGCCATTGTCGCGTTGTCGGACTAGGGTGATCAGGTGGTGGAGCCATGCTACCGTCTCGAGGATGTGTTGGTCGGTTTGCTCCTTGTCTGCGTGGTAGAGCGTCTGGAGGCGGATCAGGTTGCCTTGGGCGGCTTCACTGGCTCTGCCGTAGTCGCTTCTGTTAAGGAGCACAAGTTAGAGTCCTTTCACCATTGCATAAACTAGCATTAATAATAGGCGTTTAGAAGCGAAGAGTTGTTAACTGACCCAGTATTTGCCCATTCTCCAACCCAGCCGAAACCTTGGTGAGCTCTGTTGCCAAATCACAAGGGAAGAAAACCATGAACTTAAAGTCAAAATCGGATTATACGAGACTTAAGAAAACTCGGGTAGGATTTCCAAGAGCAAAGGCATACTTGGTTGTGTTGGCGGCAACAGGTACAAGCCATTGGAGGGTCTTTTCCATTTCAGCCTTCACTTGAGCTATTGTTAGCTGTAGGTGAATATTGATGAAAACACAGTGATGAGATTGAGCTGGTAAGCATTAGGGAGAGAGAAAGATGGAGAGAGCTAGAGGTAGAATGGAGTGTACCTCTTCCTTCTCGTCGAACATCTGTAATCGAGACCTTAGAGATATCTTTACGGTGGGTGGCAATCCTTGGTACAAAGAATCCCTTGTGTTTGGAGGAAGACTAGTGGGACGAGATGCCTAACACCAAACCGAATTTCAGTTGAAAGAATCTCAAAGTACAAGTCTTTTCTCTTTTATCATACATAACCACAAAGAAAGAGAACTGTTGCTCTTACAATGTTGTCTATCTGAGTGATCATGTTGGCATAGTGCAATGCTAAACCAGCTTTTCCAAGCGTTGGAAGCTTGTCGACCTTATCAACCACTGTGACACCTGTCGACCCATAAAAGAGACTGTTTAGCAGTTTGTAATCAGTGAGTTCTTCATAAATCAGAACTCTACATCATTTTCAGGCATTCCAATCTAGAATCTGAGAAGATTTGTTGATAGCAAGATTTCTGAAGTAGCTACAAACATTACTTTATGCTAATATATAAGGAACTTGCTATCACATGTAGAACATCCACACTGAATTGCCCTCATACCAGTATTTCCAAATGCTTCCAGAATAGCCTGGTGCAAATAGGTTACAATGTCTACAAGCTTCTCCATGATCTGCCAAGAGCATAAAACAAATTATTATTCGACTGGTTCATAGTAAACCAACAGCATGAAATTGCAACTGCAAGGTGCAGATATAACTAGCCAAAAAGTTCACTCATAAGATAGTGTCATAGTAATACTTGTAGAGGAAATAAACTATTTAGAAGATACAAGTACCTCCTCCAAACTTTTAGACCACAGAGATCTCTTTTTCATGCTGCGGACAAGTTTCCGTTGCTCTTTCAACTCGCTATGTAAAATTGAGAGGCTCTCTCCTACAATTCATCCAAATAATGAACAGCAGGCTCATTAGGTATATTCACTCTATCAAAGCTGGTAGGCATATGTATCTATTGGTCGACATGCAAAACAAGAACAAACCTTTCTGAGGGAGGTGCAAGGACTGCAACTCCTCAACCTTTCTTTGATAATCTTGCTCAAATCTGTCCAATGAATGCAATTCATGATACAGTTCCTGCACAACATACAAATAAGTAAGAAATCTTTCAGAACCCAATGAAGATTAGAATCATTGGCTAGAGATGTTCAAGACAAAGGTTTGGACTTTGAAAGACTAGACAGGCAGAGCTGACATTTATCACTTAAAGAATATCACTAAAGTTCAGACTACCTAATTTCTTTATGGTTAAAAAGAAACACACCCGAAAGGGGGAAACTAGCTTTATTTTCTCGTTTACTGAGTTATGGTAAGCGGGCTATTTCCATCATATGACCAAGTACTAGAATTCTAATCAAAGGAAGTGATGTCAAGATTAGAGGGTAAGCACAACGGCTGATAAAGGAATCCCAATATAGCTTTCATGAGGATCTTACAGAAGTATGTTGCACCAGATTAGTCAACTCTTGCACAGTTCTCTCAGCTTCTTGTCTTGATTGTTTATCAATCGAAGCCTCTGGATCTAATCTGCCATGTTTCATCCATTTCAAGACATTAATAACATGTGGCCAGCATAAATCCAATGAGAAACTTGCATCTCTGTATAAATACCGTACTTTGAAAAATATCGGCCAAGGTTGTGCCATTGGGGATCCTTACAGAGGTCTCCAAATCGAATTACTTCACGCGAGAAGACATCAAATTCTTCCCTGCAAGTGGAAACACTGATATCAGTGAGATCACTATTCTCCAGCACGATGGAATAGGAAAGAGTTTCTTCATAAAGCAAATAGCAATGACCTTTTGTCAGCCGCAGCAATGACTAGCAACTCTTTCATATCCGTAGAAATCAACCGCTTAACACCTTCTGAATGCAGAATCTCCTTTTTCAGGAATTCGACATTCTCCTCTGAGAGAGACTGAAACAAGTTCCCCCCTTTAGATATTGTATTAGCTACTTCAAATGCCAGTATCGATATTTTGTTCCCTCTGGATGCTATACCAGTGACAAACCCACTCCGGCCATTCAAATTCGACATACTACTTCCTAGAGTGTCGAGAACTTCTAACGTTTTCTCCAGCCCCATTGTGCCTGCTTTCCCCAGGAAGGACGTCTTGTGAGTAACCTACATGAATTGAAATCAAGCTGAAACCAGTAAAGAACAGTATATACAAGGAAACCATCTAATTAGGCAAAGAAAGCAACAGGTCCCCAAGCATCACATTCCAATTTCAAAGAGACCTCCATCTTTCTGATAAACAATTAACAGAGTTAACATCCAGCCAAAAGAAGAGAACATCCTGCATTGGGTTTGAAGCAAGCATGAACACTGGCTTAAACATTGCACATTCAGCTACAAACAACTCCAGCTTGGCCATGGCTTCTGCTCGAGTCTTTAAGCCAAAAGAAGAAAACATTCTCCAATGGGTTTGAAGCAAGCAAGAATAATGGCTTAAACAAGAAACATTCTGCTATACACAACTCCAGCTTTGCCATGGCTTCTTCTTGAATCTTTAAGAGCCATACATACAAGGCGATTGCTGTTAAGTTCCATTTGGTGTTCCGAGAATGAACATCCCATTCCACCATAGTCAAACATCTTATTCTGATTGTTCAAAATGATAAACCTCAATCCCTGTCCTGTTTCCACATTCTCTCTTAGAATTTGACTTCCATCTCTTTATCACAACTCCAGCTAAAGGTCAAAGATAACAGAAGGCTATTTCATTGCCACATTCTTCCAGAAATCAATAGCAATCCTTAGGCAGCAACAATCTATGGAGTAAATCGTAGCTGAAGCATGATGCATCGCAGTTATCTCCACACCTAACGACTACATCCAGCGTTGACGATTTATGCTCACTACCAGTTCAACGATCTGTAAATTCCTCGAATGAAAAGAAGAAAATTAAGACCATCACGGAAGACTAATCCATACCTTGACCGGCGTGTCTCCTCCAGCTGGCGGCTTTGACGGCTTCAACTCTCTCGAAACGGACAGCAAGAACTCGCCGGAATAGTGCCTCTCCGGCTGCTGCGTCTTCTTCTTACCTCCGTTCACAATCGCGCGGGAATCCTCCACCTCCTTCCCGCCGCTGCTCTTCTGCGACTTCACCAGCTTCCCGGAGAACCCCGACTTCTTCTTCACCTCCGCCTTGACATTTCCGTCCTTCTTCACCCCGCCGGCGCACACCCCGCCCATTTTCCACTCCACTAAAAGAATCCGAAATCCGCCGGCGGATGGGAGTAGAAACTGTAACCGAGGAACGATATCGGATTTCGGATTTCGATTGAACTATCTTACGGAAGAGAAGTAGAAGTAAGGGAGGATAATTTAACGGGAAGAGGACTTTGATTGGGGATTGTGGATTAAAGAATTCTCAGATGCAGTGAACCATAATTGTGAGAAAATTCCAACTTTCTCAGCGTGAAAAACCAAACGCGGCTGCTTCCTTAACCAAAACGGAAATCTCGTGGAGGAATTTTGGTCGAAAGCTGCCAATGGAGAATGGGAATGGAACTGGTAATTCTTTTGACCGAATTGAAATTGAGAAGAGAATAAATTATAATTTATATTTCCCTCCCTTCCTAGCAACGCCAAATGCCCAAATGGGCACAGATGTTTGACTATAATTTTCTTGTTCTCTTCTAGTTCTGTAAACTTGGCTTGATGTTGGTTGATACGGCTCAACCCATTAATATTGATGAGAATTAATGTGTTAACCTCGGTATTTACAAAGCATACCGGATTGATAGTCATCAAAAAAAACTTGTCTATCAAAATTAAATAGCAGAAATTTTCTCAATATAAAAGGATTGATTCATGATTAAATTATGGTTAACAAACAAATATCATATTATTAACTTTTTTGGTACAAACTCCCAATAGAATTTTATGATTCTTCGTTTGACCGACCCATTAGCATATTGTGATTGTATAATTGTTTGATAGTAGAACATAGGAGATGCGAGGTGGATCCAAACACCTAACTCAATAGCCAGATTAGAATGATGAAGTTATGTAAAGTATTTAATCGAATACGAGGATTTTATCGGTAAATTGTTAATTTTACTATTTGACTTGTATGATAGATTATTGGAGGGTACAAATCGACATCTAACCACCAGATAACTCAAAAAATTTCCAAGGAAGGTATGAAAAGGGTGGTGGTGACTGGTGAGGTCGTCGCCCACCACCGCTGGACTCTGACTAAAGTAGTAACAATAATTATACTAAATGGTCTTTGTATTTAGTTTATTTTGCCGGTTGAAATTGTCTTACCACCCTTCATCCAATCCAGCGCCTGCCGCCTGCCGCCGGCGGATTAACTCTGGCACTGCAATCTGAAGAAGCCGTCGGTGAATGAATACGACCGGACCGGGTAATGTCATGATATCCTTCATAAATCATAATCCTTGTATTGCATCGGTGGTGAATTGTCAACGCTGGATGGGAAAGCTTTGAAGAATTTGGTTGTGATGTGACATGTCATTAATGTACGGTTGTTCCCGAAATCGAACAAAGATTGCTCATTCTTCACTATTGTCACATAATGCAATATTTTTCATAATCGGTCAATACTCAATAGGGATGGTAATAGGTCGGGTACTCGGGTCGGGCGGATAGTGCACATCTGTTATTCTACTCAAAGTAGTTCGGGTTTTACCCATATATGAAACGGGTAGAAAATCAAAATCATGTCTATACCCGTTCAGGTTTTGGGTATCCACAGTTATTCATGGATAATAAAATCTCTTCATAACTTCAACCAATATGTTAACATTCACACGTATTCTCACATTACGAAAGAGGAAAAGTACGACAATAATTCATTAGAATGAAGAAAATTAATTAAAACAACACAATTTCATGAAAATATTATATTTATATGCTAAATATAAAATATGTTAGAGAAAAATAATGATTATTTCTAGACAAACTACATATGCATGTGTATAATCGGGCGTGTTCGGGTTGGATAGTGAGAAACCCATGCGCACCCATTACCGCAATATTCGGGTTCGAATTTTACCCGTACCCACTAAATGTGTTTCTGGTTCGAATTTTACCCTACGCGATTAGCCCGGATTCGGGCGGATGTCCACGGTTACGGTTAGTTTTGTCATCCCTATAAGTCAAGAGTGAATAGATTATTTGTGCTGTCACGATGAATTAGAAGACGTTTTATTGGACTTTCATAAATAAAAAATACACAATTATATATGTCGACTTGAAAAATATTTGTGTGTACTTAATCATTTTTGTAGTACTGTGATTTTGAGCGGATGTATATCAATTATGATTATGAAATGTCAACAGTTTATTACTAAAGAAGAGCCTATAGATGAAGGGAATATCCACTTTATAATTCAAACTTATAATCTAAAAGTATACACTAAACCTGATCCTTATTCTCAATATCATAGTGTATTATGTTTTACAAATTACAAACATAAACATTTTATTTCTTTCACATAAAAAGGAGCCGTTATATTTTTCTCTACAAAAGCTACTGTTTTTCACAATAGGATTTAGAAGAGAAAAACAGATCAAAGCAAACCAAGTGAACATATCCATTGCCTCTTTCAAAGAAAGTCCGCGGGCTTTTAACTTGTCCTGAGTCTTAGCGTCGGGGTTGTTAGTTGTTACGGGCCAAGTTTGTCTCAATGATGATTGGGTTCCTGATTACAAGCCCACCATTAATTTTTGGACACGCAATTTGCAGGTATAATCGCCTAATCTACCTACCAGACTACCACTGCCACGGGCCCACGACCACCTTAGATTACTAGTGCAACAGTAGTATTCTCATTAACCAAAGTTGTCAAATCCATTTAAATTGACCCTTCAAAATGAGTGATTTAAAGATCAATGTCCCTTCTCAGTCCAACTAATATGGTTAAAAGATATTATAATTTGGCCCCTACATAATTATTCTCCTACTAAGATGCAACAGGATTTTAAATCACATTTTTATTTTTACAAAAAAATTATATACATTTTTTAACAAAATAACATAATTTGATATATTTTAGAACAGAAAATAAACCTTTAAATGAATATTTTTATTATAGTGTTTATTGTAGTACAAAATATTATCATTATTTTTTCGTTCTATCTCTCCTAGTACCCATTTGTTCGAAATTGATCTGCCTCCATTTCCACTTTTCGTAAGCAGACTCGGATTTATTCAATTGATCGATTGCCCATTGCGATTATTTCGAATTACGAATGGTATTCAAAATACTTTGTTTTCAATTATAAAACAAGTCACTTAATGAAAGTACATTATATTTCCATTCGTCATAAGATTATAGGAATATACCATAGATTCTGATAGTGGTATATGATGATATACCATAATGAAAGGATGGTGGTAGACGACGTTAGATAGCAACAGTTTGGTAGATGACATAAATGATCTGGAAAAAAATCTTCGAAATATATGTTAAAACGAATATTATTTTCTAGATTAAAATCAAATTGTTTCCTTTATGCAATTTATTTTTAAACCCAAATTAAAATTAGGAGGTAGAATGTGATACAAGTTGTCCAAAAATTTCATGAAAAATATATAAAAAATGCATATTAATATTTTTAAGCAAACTACCTACTTTCTATCTTGGTGAAAATCAATTGAGTGGAAAGATTGCAAAGAATGTTAACGTATCACGGTACACATCAGAGATTCCATCAACATTGTTCTTACTTTCTTATATCCTTTTCGTTTTGATATAGACACTAGAGCCACTAAGGTCTAAAGGCAAGCACGGTGATTAGCAAGGTTTGTCAACCTGCGGGTCAACCCACTTTGACTTTAGTCCGGTAAGAAAAACGGGCTGCACGTATCTGTTGGGTCGACCACTACAAGGTACCGGATTGGAGGTCAAATTGTGTCATTTTTTTTTTGTTTGCGAAATGCACCTATTTTCATATTTTTATGTTTGACTAACTCAATCTTTGAAATCCTAAGTTGAACATTTGAATATTGATGTTATACAAGTGTGTGTGAATTTTCACTATATGTTGGATCTAAGTACGACATGTTATTTTGGTGTAATATTATAGGTTATAACTCGCATGTTAGATTATATTTGATATAATTTATCAGAATAAGTACAATATAATGACTCTTTCCATATTTCTGGGCTAAAATGAGTGACCCATTAACTCTTGACCCACTAACTCGACCTGGTCCGGGTCAGCCGCGGATTAACAACCTTGGTCATTAGTGATTACTAGCCTAGATTACCATCATTGACTAATTATTTCCATAATACATGCACGGTAAAATATCATGAATTAACCACACAGTAATTAACACAAGAACCCGGGGGAGGTAAGATGAGGAGATAACCGAAACGACAGACCAAAGACAGCTAGCGACAAAAGCCTTGACTTGGTCAGCAAATGAACACTTCTACTTTTTCTTTACCGCGCATGTCAGTCAATCTTTAATTTCTTTTCTCAAGAGAGCATACCACAGTCGGCGATCACAGTATGCTTAGCGGCCCGGCTCGATTCCGACCCGACATGCGCGATCGCCTTGATTAGGGGTGGACATGTGGGTGGTTAATCCACGGATTGATATCGATCCATCTTCAAATAACCCAATTCGCACTTAATGGTGATTGATGTAGGTGGATTGCAGATTGATAAATCTTTCACCCGCACTTCATGGTCCATGAAACTGCTGATGAAAACAGAAACAGATAATGACGGATACGGAAAGGGAAACATACACAGACACCGGTATTTACGTGGTATCCCTGGATATCCAGGACTAATCCACGAACTTTGAACGCTCTTCAGACTACTGATTTACTGAGATTTGTGTCAAGAAGATGATACCGGCGGCAGACCCCTCTCACCTCCTATATATATCACGTCCTAGGTTAGATACACCATTAAACGTCTAACCTAGTATGCATGGGCTTGCATGGACGTGGACTACGTATGGGCTTATTAATTGAGGACTGATTACTCGATATTTGCACATGTTTTCCCCTGTGTTTCTTGATCGTTTGAGCTTTAATTATCACATCTTTGGCCTATTTTACGCTAGGTTGTGTTCTTTTGTCATATTTCAGGTCCTAGCACATAAAGTGAAGCATAGACGCAAGTTTCAAGTCAATCAGAGATCAATTGGCGATTCGGGAGCAGAAACTCGGGCATGACCTGAAGAAGAATGGATTTCTACCTCACTTTATGGACAAAGAATCATGCAAGCTTGTCATGAAAAGAAAGAGGACGAGACTATGAGCGTCTGAGATCAAACGGCGACTGATTCGGAGTCCGGACGAGGGAGAAACGAAGCATTGAATATAGGGGAACAGGTTCGGCAGTAAAAACACGGGCGCGCCTAAATCAAAACACGGCCGTGCCCATATTTAGGCACGACGGTGTTTTGGCCAACGCGCCCGGGCATGTTTTTAACACGGGGGCAAAACACGGGCGTGCAAAACCAAAGCACGGCCGTGCCCGCGACCGTGTTTTGCCCAGAATCGGGTTTTTTAACCCAAATTCGAGC